AAACCCAATAAAATTTAATTTTATAAACTCACAAAAGGAAAAATTTAAATATGATAAAGATTCACAAAAGTTTACACTAACGTGAATATGTATAAATTAGTATATATTAAATATGTAGTATATATTTTGAAACTACAACAAAACAAGATTGAAATAATAAATCATTACCTTAATTTACTCGTCAGTTGCTAAAACTCCATGGTTTTCTCTTCCAATTTAGTGAATTGAACATTTCTGTAAACAAAATATGAATTATTTAATTAGAGGATGAGACAAAAATATATTTCAACCCATGTGTATGTTTGCAGAATTATTCGAATAGATATTTATATTTCTTGTACATTTGTTCCCCAGAAATGTTTGGGTATATCTGCAGAACCCTGAATATCAACAGATAATTTGATATACTTATGACAGACCTTCCTATGCCAACTAACTGAAGATTTAATGGAAAAGCTATTCTCCTAATAAAAGAACCAATGAATTTAAGATAAACTTAATATATACTTATTTATATGTCAAAGTATACTAAATTTGAAATAAATAATAGAGTAACTTCTGAGATCTGTAAAAATATTTTCTGATGTCTTGCAACAGGTCACTTCTACTTGAGCTCTTAGGTTGTGTATAATTATTTGTATATAATAAGTGTATAATAAGTGGGGGGAAACCCTTAAAGTGAATGAAATGAACCTTAGTATATCTTTTTGCATAATAACACATCAATAAATATTCTTTATGTATTTATATCTGCATCTACAACTACTGTGATGACAATAATCTAAATTCAGATTAAAACATCATAAAGAAATAACAAAGCATGAGCTTAAAATTTGATTTATACTTATCCTTCATTTCCTTAATATTTTCCAAATATTTTTTATTTTTCATATTCTCAAGCTGATAATTAGCATTTTTCTTTTATTACACACATAAAAACATTATCTTTAGAACTATTTTTCCTTGAAAGTAAACAAACGGTTCTGCAACTGGTTATAGAAAAATTGGAATTTTCTAAATAGTCTGTTTAAGAGCTTTATTGAAGCATTCATTGCATTAATGAATGTATAATCACATTGAATATTCTGTTGGACACATTATATATTAGTAGAATGTTATGCTACCAAAAAAATGACAAAATCCATTGTCTATTCTAGAAACTTTTCAAAATGAGAAAGTAATTAGATAAGGAGCTCAAGTACATAGCATAGAATTTAAATTGAGCTCTATTTTAGAGTCACATTTATTACAACCAGCCACATTAAATATAAATGTGAACGCAGAATTTAATAAAAAATAATTAATAAACAAGCAAAGTAACTCTGTTGCCACCAAGTGGGTAACCACTCACAGCCACCCTCTCACAGAGGAGAACTGCCCCGTGGAGTCTCCCAAGCTGTCAATACTGAACGATTCAGACTACCCTCTCTTCCTTCTGCAAAGTGGTTGACAGGTTTAAACTGATGACCTTTTAGTTAGAAATGAGCATTTAATCACAGTGCCCCCAGGGTTCTGTGATTAACTATAGAAGCACATTATTTTGTCCGAGGATATAAAACTATTAAATCAATGAACCATGAAGTATTTTGGTTCATCATGATAGTGAGAGTCCATTCATATTTGATCAATTAGTGAGGTGCTGTAACAGAAGATCAATCCAAGTTCATATTTAAATGGCAAGCTTGACTACATGAATAGGAAATTGAAGACCATTTTTCAGTCAACTACTTGGATATTCCCTGTACAATGGTTCCTTCAAGAAGCTCGTTCAGTATGTATTGGCTCTTAACATGAAATATCTCCTTTTTTTTCAAAACAGGAAAATACCATATTTTAAATACTCCACATGAGTACAGTCATTAGTAATGACAGCACAATATTGCCTAAAAGGGTTATCACAATTTATTTATTCTATCTACCATTTAGAAAGTATTGTGACTTTTAAGCATCATGAATTAGTCAGTTTCAGCTCATACCACAAAACCTACTCCAGCATAGACAGAACTAATTCTATTTTCCCTGATGTCTTCTCTTATTTCTCTAATGCAATCAACCATATATTATATGTGAATAATTTGATAGCAGGCACTATTCCTTCTTCATTTTTACATTACCCTTAACTAGAGAACACAGAGAAAGATTGACCCACCACCAACAAGATCTGCAGCCTAGGAAACCCTACAGGTCAGTTCCTTCTCCTGCGTGGCATCAATACGTGCGAATTGACTTGCTGAGAGTTGGTTTACTTATCAAACTAAGCACCTAACAAGACTAACTGAGTGAACAAAATATTAGCATCTTTAAAATAAGCCCACTGTATTTTGCTCACATTAAATGAGATACACAATACACCATCATATATGTTTTGGAACTTGTTTGCTTGGCTATTTTTATAGATTTGGTTTTCTTTTTATACCTAAGAGCAGAGAGTTGTTTTTGTTTTTTTAACATTTACATCCTGGCTATTCAACATCTCTCAGTGCTTCACTCGATTATGCCCACTTATGGCACTTAAGAGTCAGCAGACATCTCAGACTACAGAACACGCTTACATGTGGTAATTTAGCCTCCTAAGGTAAAGAGCCAAGCTTGGGTAGAGAACAGGGTGATGACAGACTGAAGGAAGAAACGGAGGATATAAGGGAAGGAGAGGTTTCATATCAAATGAGGCTATTCTATCACCAGAAAGGAATATACTGTTTATTTTGTATTTAGTAAATTTTTTGTAAGAGTCATTAAGTAAAAGAGCTAAGAAAAATAATTTTAAGTAAAGTGACTATTGAAGCAATGCACTAAATGGAGGATGTAAAACTTGGTATATTTTGGAGGAAAATGAAATCTTTAATCTGTTTATATTTTGCTTTTCATTACTTTTCAATCACATATGCTGTATAAATCAATGTTCTACCAATTACAATAACTTACTCCAGACATTATGAATAAGATGGAAATGCTCTGGATCTAAATAGTTTTTTTTAAAGCAAAGTTAATGTACAACAATGAACAGAAACACATGGATAAAGTGTGAGAAAGGAAAACAAATTGGAAAGAAGAGACACAATATTATGAATAACTGTGTGGTAACAAACTGGATAAATTATATAAAATGAACAAATTCTGAGAAGCACGCAACCTACCTGAACTAACTCAGGAGAGGAACACAGAAAGTCTGATTAGACCTCTACCAAAGGATGACATTAAATCAGCTACCGAACACCCCCTCCTCCATTTGAAATGTCCTAGACCAAACGGTTTCACTGAGTGATTCTACAAAAATTGAATAATGCCAATGATGTCAATACTATTTAAACTATTCCAAAAGGTGAAAATAAGTCTATTATCTAAATCTTTATATGAAGCAAATATAACCTCGATACTCAACCTAGACAAAGACATCACAAGGGGGAAAAAAAAAGACTAGTGTCTCTTATGAACAAAGATGCCAGTCATGAAAACTGTACCAGCCAATAGAATCCAACAGCGTATTTAAAATGACACACACCGTAACCACGATCTCAGGAATACAAGGATGACTCAATATTAGAAAATCACTCAATGTAAGAGATGACATCATTAGAACAAAGAAAAAAAAACCACAGGTCATGCTTATGAAAGGAGAAACATTTCATAAAATCTAGGATTCTATTAGAATAGGAGGGAACTTCCACAATATGTTTCAGAACATACATGAAAAACAATACCTAGCATTTTATGTAATGGAGAATGATTTTTGTTTCCTTTGAAATTGGGAACAAAACCAGGATACACCATTACAATTTTTTTCACCATTTTATTAGAAGTCCTAGCCAGAGAAACAAGACATGATAGCTATATGAATTCCCAAATGACCTCAGTTACCAAGTGGGTCAGACGATGTGAAGGCATTCATACTCTGAAGGACCTGCCTTAAGTTTGATCTAGGACTGATTCAAGACATGATAGCTGTGTCCTTGATATGTGAAGTTCTGTACCGTTATTGCCATGTGGCACGATAAGTGAGAAAATAAGACTTGCTGTTGATTTACCACCATCAGAATGAGTTCTAATATTCTACTGTATAAAGAAAATTGATAAAATTACACGATATGTGAAAAGATAGTTACATATACTTTAGATGTGACTGATGAAAGCATGTACAGGGAAGTAGAAAAGAATCCCATTTATATCAGAGATTCGATGTGAGCATGATGGATTAATGACTACGGAACAAACATTTCAGCTCTTCTTTAACGCTTCTGCTTTAGAAGTCATCAGCAGTCCAGTTCTTTAACCCGAAGATTTGGTAAGCTTCCAGGAAGATTATTTCCTCAACAATGCCTTTATTTTTTCATTCTCTGCTTGAAAATTATTTTTAAATTATCAATATAAAAAGCAATCATGTAATTTAATCCTGTTTTCACCCCTCAAAAATAGCTGTTATGACTATAATTATCACATATTTGAATACTAATCATGACTTTCCAACTTCTATAATGAGAATTTCTAAGCTTCTTTCTTTGATAATAGAATGTGTCTAATCATTACACATTAAATGATCATTTTCTATTATAACATGCTAAAATCCACCCCACTTATATCATGAGGTAACAATTGTTTAAAAGTACATAATTCTCATACTCTATGAAAAATGTTCAAAGCAATGTGTTTCCACAAAATACATTGTAATAATCACTTAGTAGTTTAAAAGTTTTAATTGAAAAAGGAATTATATCAATATTCGTTTGCTTCAATTTCAGTAGGAATTCAGAAGCTCTAAATAATAAATATTGGGAGTTGGGGTGAGTGGAGATTTTGAGGGAATTTGGGGAGAAAACATAGAATGCAGGAGGGAGGGAGGAGCAATAGAACTGATTGTGATGATGTATATGCAACTCTTTTTTAAAAGGGATTTAACCGTGAAAGTGTACAATGTGTGTATACTATATCAAGAAAACTACCAAAAAAAAAAAAGGAATAAAAAGAAACCAAACTTAACCAATGGTTACCATGAGTGAAGGAGAAAGTGCTGTTTCTTAAGGGGTAATGCATTTCTGTTCATTGTGGTGGTATACTTTTGGAAATGATATCAACAATCAATATCTCAATCAACTGTACAACATGAACAGTATAATCAATCACATTGCTTTACACATGTAGAAGTTGTTGAATCAGAATGTTTTGTTGTGTATATTTTTGGCCCAATTAGAAAAAGAAATAATAACATGAAAAACAATGAATACAAGGAAGACTATGTT